GAACAGGTGGACCAGTGCTAGCTGAAGAACACAGCTCATATGTTTTTCCCGTGTTAATCAGCTTGTTACAATCATTTTAAGCGACTTAAGCAGAAAGAGTTACAGTTCGCTCAAGCAAATAATTGAACCTTTTGAAATTTCAACATTGAAAAGCAAATGTCTGCTTCAAACATGGCAATGCATGCTTATTGTGGACGTTGAAGTGGACCGTTCAGGTTGCTTTAACTAAGGATTCTTTACAATGTAGAGATGCCTCAGGCTTATAATTAAGGCGTCAGTGAGGAGGGACAGACATTGTAACTGCGGGCTGAGACCCTAAATGTCGTGCGTAAAGGTAATTACGGCCGTGCAGTGTGTGGTCCAATTATCGTGTGACAGTTTGGGACTCTTTCAACTGTCAGTGTCATCTCTACATTTTGGTTCAGGGGAAAAAAAGGTCTGTTGGAGAAAATGCCGCATGTCTTCCAATGTGTCAAGACTAATATGTCATGACCGATGCACACAACATAACTCAATGTGTTCCAAACTCTGGAGAAGATTCTGAACCCTCATTAAGGTGAAGAGAGATGGATTAAGCTGTATTATGCCGCCACCTTGTGGTCAAAGGACAGCCAACACGCAAGGCACATAAATCATGAATCCAACAACTGAATACACATCCAACAAGTTAGTTTAAAGTATTGAATCTCAAAAGAAATACTCAGTTTCAACCAACAGTTTCAACCAATATCTGAATTTATTCTTGAAATCTCTTTCAACACTCTTTCCTTCTGCTCATTCCAACACTATTAGTCGGAGCTTCGTGTTTTGTCTTTAAATCCGTGACTTCATTTTAGTTTTTTTTATGGCTGCACTAATGTATTGAATAATTGTAATATTTTAGAAATCTTATATATTGTTTATATATAAGATTTTATATTCAGGGAAAAGGATCACCACGAAAGTGAGTACAGTGCTGTATAACATGCGTTTGTGACGTTGTTACCAGTGAAGTTAACTTCTAGTTTAACTTCCTGACTTCAGCATCCGTACAATGAAACAAGTGGAAATCTGACTTTGACACTAAATGACCTCATCAAATTTTTGCAGTATACCCAAGTCATTGCTGTGGAATAGAATATACTGAATTTAACCAACCAGTTACATCCTACAGAGCTCTAGTTGTCTAATGTTGTGTCCCCCCCCCCAAATAATTACATTACTCAAATTAAGAGACAGCAGCTCCTGTTCCTCTGTCCAATAAAAATAAATTGCTCTGCTTCTGCTTGTTAACCATGAGACAAGTTAGCTTCCTCTTCCAGTGGTGTGTGTGTGTGTGTGTGTGTGTGCATGTGCGTGTGTGTGTGTGTGGCAGGGGGTCGGGCATGTTCCCTCAAGCACAAAAGCAAAAAAAAAAATCCACAGAGGAAATGGGTTGAGAGGTCATGCCTGCTCCATCTCCCTCTAACATAAACAAGGCGTCGGCCTTCAGGAAGAGCGAGAGATCCTATTGGATGAAATTCCGAGATGCCGTCTTCTTCTCCGTTGGTTGGGATGCTTCTGAATGCCATCTTTGTCTAATGATCTAATTATCTGTCTGACTGATTGGTTTGGAATAAATCATGTTAAGATGTCTGACCGGCTTTCCATGGGATGTCTAAAGGTCACATGCTGCAGCGCTGTCATTTACAGAGTGTATACAAATCTGGGTGGGAAGCGTTTTGCTTTCAATAACAGCTATTGTCACGTCACGGCTGATTAAACAATGCAGTCTAAAACAAACCTTTCTTCTTCTAACACTCGGCGGGCCTCGTGACGGACAGATGACCTCACTGCTTTCTGGCCTAAAGCATGCTGAGATCAACCATTACGTGACTCTAAAAAGATGTGTTAATCACAGTAAGAGATTATAACAATAACTATTACACACAGTTTATATAACTGTTTAGCAAACAGCGGCCAGTAGACACGGAGCTCATGAGCGTTCATTAGATGCCTGCATGGTGAATGGAGGGCCAATAATGACTCTCTTTTGGCTCTGCTTTGGGTCTCAGCCAAAGAATATTTGTAAAGATGGACGACATGACAGCTCCCCAAAAGTGAAGCCGAAAACATCTTGATCGATTATTAGTTCTGTTTTATGTTCTTAGCGCTGTAAGTGTTGGACATGTGGAGGTGGAGCAAGATGATAAATCAGGAGATGACCGAAGTCATCAAGATGTGTGAGGTTCACTCTGTATATGAATGTATATAAACTCAGAGACCCATCTTGCATGCTTGTGTGTGTGCATGCAGGGTGATGGGTGTAGAGGTGAGAGAAACATCTTCTTAAGCTTCAATTCTGTCACACAACAGAACTCTTGCTGCAGTATTCTTATGAACTGAATAGTTTGGAACATATCTGGCAAGACTGGATTCTCTATTGAATGTTTCCAGACTTAAAGATGTACATTTTACACAAGCAGCACTACAGAGGGTGTTCTGTGTCCTGTGGCTCTTGATGGATCGTTCTTAAATCTGAGGAAATGACCCAGAGTCAGCGAGAAAACCCTTTCCTGGGAGGTCAGGTTGAAGAAAACAATGCTATTGATTTTGGGAAGCGTAGGTTCTCCACCTCTTCTGCTTGAATTTTGACCATTTTATTCTAATCTGTCTCTCCTAAATGATCCATCTTTATCAAAATGCCATAATAAGTTGAAGTGCCCTTTTGATGGAACAGCATAAAACAGAGTGTATGTGACTCAATGTGCTCGTTTGAGGGTTGATGATTGCATAAAGGCTGTAAAAATTAATTCAACCGCCATTTTAAAATGGCACACACAAGGCCTTCAGCTTCCTCCAAGGTACACGCACGGTAGATTTCAACCCTTCAATAAACAGCAACTGGAACTTTTTTTTTTTTATTGCTGGCAGAAAAAAAATAATAATAATAATAATAAAAATTTATATGTTATAGCAGCAGATCAATGCCGCTGGTTTTGGGTCACATATGGGTGTAATGCTCAGGTGTCCACATACCAATGTAATGTCCCTTCATTCAGTTTGAGCCACTTTGTTTGTCAGACCTGTGAAACATGCCAGTAAGAAGTCCTGTATGTCTCTGTAAACCTGGTGGATGTAGGCACACTGCTCCATGTGATCTTATTATAGATCACTCAACAAAGCGCTGCCTTTAACGTGGCTGATATCATGACTACACCATGTGTTGAGACAGACGCGGTGGATGGGATTTTGCCAAGGACACATAGCTAACAACATTGTTTCTGTGTGTCCTGTCTCTTTAGGGACAACGTCTTGTGGCGGATGTGGGTCAATGCATGTTCAGGGTCACCAGGTTTGCATGTCCGACCTATAGACCTCCACCGGTGACACAATAGAGGCCTTTCCCTGAGCACCCGACCGACCGCTGGCCGCCCTCTGCTAACATTTCTGCACGTCTTGGCTGCCCCAAATACCACAGCAGAAGAAGAACAACAGGCGTGCACCGGCATGCGTTGGGGTCATGGCTACACGGGGGGGTACTGTGTCTCAATGATTGTGTTGTTGCATTCAGTGCCATTGTTTGTTTTGATCAGACAGGAGTGTCAGTTACTTACTCAAGTTACAATGTCTATTCCTGTAATTACGATTATTTCAGTCGAGAGTTCTTTTTAGTTTTGGACGCTTTTAAAAATAGAGGAAACAATAAAAGCTCAATGCTCATAGTTATAGCAAAGAGCTCCCAAAAGAGGACAGCTAATAGAACAGGTTTCTCTCATGGGGAAAATGACAGAAGGATGCTGAAAAGTATGCAGACGGAAAACATCATGAGACCATCATCCCGTTCTGAGTTTTTGAACAAAGGTTTTTAAACACAAGACAGTATCCAAAACACAGCATTTGTAAAGTTAAATGTGACCGTGGTCATACATCTCTTTTATGTGTCGTACAGGGACTTTGCTAGCATGCTGAGCTAATGCTGAATGACGGCGGCGAGAGGGTTGAAGGTCTTGTGTCATCCGAGCAGGGTTGTTCCTACGTCAGGCTGGGTCTAGGTCAGAGGTCAGGTCAGTGTGTCTGTTGTGGCTGCCAGCACTCAGTCATCCAGACGACAGCTGAGCACCGGGACTTCTGCTTCCTCAGAGTCAGCCGGTGTTTTTGTGAATGACCCGTTTTCTGACGCAGAGACAGCTCTGTTAAACAAACACGTGAATGAGAAGAAACATCTCAGTGGGAATCAGCTGCATGATACCTCTGACCAATTAACTCATTTTATTATTATTAATTAAACAGAATAGCTTTCGGTAAGCATGCATAAAACTACACCTACATATCGGTTTTGTCTTAAGAAACCAACCAACTCCAAACTAACTTGACGAATGAGACATTATGGTTCATTTTGAATCCGTTGTTTTACGTGTGCAAGAACCTTCTTTTTCAACATGAATAAGCCTGTGAAGTCTTGACCTCTCATGGCACATTTCTTAGTTTTTCATTATCTGGATTTCATGCAGTCATACGGGCGAGCAAATAAAAACAAATAAAGATAGATTGCTTCAAAAGCAGCACTAATTGACTTTATGGCCACTTGGGGGCAGTGGAACAAGCAAATGTATGTCACTTATAATCATTCTAGTTCCTATCATTGGGCAACGTTGTCATTAATTTGTCATTTTTCAAGCTGCCAGATAAATGTAAGTCTAATGCTAACTCTCATTTTAGGTCTGTTTTGGTCTCCACCATCTCCTGAGAAACATATATTTTTCTTTAGTTTGCTAATGCCGGATATTTAGCTTGCCAGCTCATTGTGTTGCTCAGCTCATTTCTGTTTGGCTCTGGCCTTGTTTAGTGGGTTTGTAGTTTACAGTGGGTTTATGAAAGCTGCTTTTCTAAAAAAAAAAACAGCTGGGCTGATGAGAGCAGAGTGATAAAATATGAATGTAAGCTTAAAATAATAGTAAATGAAAAATATTTGGGCACTTTAAAAGGATGCTGTACAGCAGTTTCTGTCTGATGAAAGTAATAAATGGAGACCAAGTCAACTACACCCATGCCCTCTTGTCTTTAGATTCACTGCTATCAGACCGTTGGCCTGAGTTCGCCCCAACTGGAGTGTACTGGTCCAGCTTTTTGACACCCATTGGTGTTGGCATCCTGGGGTCTGGTCCTCTGTCGGGACGGGGGGGCAGGTGGCTGTGGAGGACAAAGTGAGTTGGCACAGGAGCGCTGATGGGAGTGGGCGGCCGAGACGTCCTCAGCTTAGCGGTTCCATCATTCACCTTTGTGTGAAGAGGTTCATGTTTGAGGCCGTTCTTTGAGCTTTCACCGGGGCCGATTCTTCTGATTGAAAGGACGTTGCTGTCCTCCGTCGTGGTTGTCGTAGTGTCCACACTGCTTTGCTCCCCTTCACTCATCTCCTCCAACAACATCTCCCTTCTCCTCCTCCACGTCACCATTGCCTTCACGGAGCTCACCAGGTCCACCAAACTCAGCAGGACGGACAGGGAGGCCAAGGCCAGCATGAAGTTGAGCATCAAGGTCTTCTCCGTTGGTCTGGAGATGTAGCACTCGATGCCGGATGTGCAGGGAGCCTCGTAGCAGTGGAAGCTCCTGGGAACGGACAAACCGAAGAGAAAAAACTGGCTCGCGCCGAAAACCACTTCCAGAAGGATGCGTAGGATCACAACCAGGAAGTAAGCGCAGTAGAAGCGCGGCGCTCCCCGCTCACGTGGGAGGTTGTGAAGTGGGGCTTTGTGCGGGGACAGTTCTCTCGAGGAGTTAGAGTTCTCAAGGGTGAACGGTGACCCTCCTCGACTCCTGTCGCAGTAGAAACCTCCAACATAGGGATGCGACAACACGTTCTGCACGACGTAGGTTGCAAACAGCACGTGGGGAAGACAGAGGAGAATGAGGTGGAAGAGCCAGAGACGGAAGACGGACACGGGGGCAAATACGTCAAAGCACACGTTGGAGCAGCACGGCTGGATGGTGTTGTAGATGAACCTTTCCTGCTCGTCGCTGAAGAGGGTGAAGCCGGCCAGCAGGAGGACCAGCAGACGAAGAACCAGCATCAACATCCACCACATTTTGCCTGGAATGGAAAAGAAATGATCAAGTTACAATGAATGATAGATTACATGAGGATAGAAGAGAAGAAATATAGGATTTATAGGGTGAATAAAATAATCAAATGTATCAAACTAAACACAATGAAAAACAAATTGTTATGATTATTCCTAAATACATGAACATAAAAAGCAATAATTATAAAATATCAAGATCATGACAAAATACACACAAAAGAGTGACAAATTTCACATTACTTAAAAAAATAAATGACCAAGATTTAGTAAAAAATACATTGATCTTAATGTATTCTTTAATGCGCCTACACCGTTAATTATTTCCAGGGTTTCACAAGATTTAACTGTAATTATTTTGCAATCGATGACGGTGTTATCATGGCACAGGCTTAAATACAGTAATGCAACTAGTAGGCAGTAATTCACTGTAAATATATAAAGTCAAGCTAAGTTGTTAGCTCTTTACATTCACTGTTTATTTGGGTTAACACGCGTGTAATCATGATGATAGAGAAGATAAACATCAGTATACCAACACTGCCTCAATTCTAATATTGTGAACTACAAAAGAAAACAGCGTACCCATAAAGGAGACATTGTGGCTCATAGTGATGAAGAGTAGATCTTTTGCTCCCATCATCGTCATTGTTCAGCGCAGACCCTGATCCCATATAAGAGAAACCAGCCAGGACTCTCAAGAAAAGCTCCTTTACAACAAATCCATGAGGGAGCCGCTCCTGAGCCGCTGTCCCCTTCAACACTGTCCCAGGACGATACACCGCCGACCCTCAGAGCTCGCCACTAAATACAGTCACTTCCTTTTCTTACTGCTTCTCTCTGTTGTCTGCGGAGGCCGGGACCCGTGGAGGGAGCTATTCTTACCGGGCTGCCATCAAAGCATTGTTGGGATGTCGAGGCACCTGACGAGATGCTGACATACGTAGGCCGGCTTGTAATAGAAAATCATAAACCTGAGTGAGACCGCTAAATGGCATTGAGTCGTTCTCAAATTCACGTTTAGGAAATCATAACATCATAAGACAATTAGCGGTTATCAGTTTAGTAGATGGCAAGCTCAATGGCAGCTTAACCCTAACCCTGTGAAACAAAATGCTCCTCTTGTCACTGTCAAACGTTTATAAAATCTGCAAATCACAGAACCATGAGAGCACTTTCTTTCATCAAAAAATAAAATAATTCATTTCAACTCTTTATACATTATACAAAGTTCATTTGCAAAATAATTATGTTTAAGTGATCTAGTTTTCAGACATGTGAGAGAAAGAAGAGATGAAAGTTTGTCAGCAGCAATTAGAATTAGAATTAGAATTTATTGTGTGTTCAACATAATAATTTGGGGTTTTTAAATTTCTATTCTTTTAACTCCAAACAGTGACCATCTCAGGAACGAACAGCAGCTCTGTTCTAACACAGTTTTTAGTCGCTGTTTTAAAAAGCTGCTGAAACCCCTTGAACCCCGTGAGCACATGCATGCAGGTGTACTGTGGTTAAATGATCAACATCAATCACACTGATTGGCTGTGAAGAGGTCCGCTAGGAAATGAAGACACTGGAGAAGCAGCTGGTGAGCACAAGAATGGAGATTATTTTTATTTTCCAAATGCACTGTAGATGTAATGTTGAGTTATCTTGCTCTGTTATACTGGGAAAACAACAAAATGATCATTCCTTTTAATATTGCAAAACCATATCGCAACTGCAATACTATTCAATATAATCACAATTAGATATGTTTTAAATCCCCCCTCCAACCTGAAAGTACAGTTTAACCCTCAATGCTCAGATGTCCACTAGATGGCAGCACTGAGGAGGGCTGGTTCAGCCTTCATTACATGTTACAGCTTGAAAAACATAAGTGGTAGTAATTGTTTGATTATTCACGTCCCCCAAAATAGGAATGTATCTGTTGTCACTTTTTTCTATTATCTATTCTGTCCTCTTTCTTTCTTTGTAATAATCTTTGTTTATAGCCAAAGTATATATGGCGGAGCATCAGAAGATTAAACGTGAGAAGACTACCTGAGTATCGAGAGGTACACTAGAAATACTGTAAACCTTGAATACAAATATTCACAAAGGAGAAAACTTGCTAACACTTCAGGTATTCTAAGACATGTCAAAGGAAATAAATAACCGGTGCAAAGTCCAGTGCAACACTACTGTTTATGAAATCAGGCCGCTGCAACTGATCAACTCACATGATGAAAGGAAAATAAATAATACGCTTCGCTGTTAAGTTGCAGGACCATCTCAAAGGCAAGTTATGTCACATCTTTTAAATTAGATAAAACCCCGAGAACATTCAACAGAGCGTCGATACATTAAGACACGGTGCTACGTCCTAGGAAGTTTTCTGGAGTCTCGCAGGACTTTCTCAGTTGGTCCAAAGCTAGATTTGTCCCCACGGATGATATAGAAACACCGTCTCTCCTTCATGATCAGAACAGTTGAGGCACTGTGAAGGCATCGGGTGAAGTCAGAAAGCCCCTCTGACGTTCACTACAGATGTGGTTTCACCTTCTCGCCTCCAGAATCCACGGTGTGAAGGTCCAGAAGCTGATCTCAGGTTTCAGTCACTGTTCCGCCAAGATCCACGTCTTGGTATTATCTGGGTATCCAAACTGACATTTCTGAACTCGGCACATGCCATGTCGGTACGTTTCCACTCGTGTGTGTTCCTCGGGTTTTTCTCATCCAGCCGGTGCCAATGTTCAGTACATGGCAGATTAATGGTGGTTAGGAGAGGATTGCAGGGACCCATCTAATCCCACACAGATTGTCCGTGCTGGCCGAGCGCTTCCTGGCAGCTCTGCGCGCGTCCTTGTACCTGTCATCACATAACCTGGAAATAGCCTGAGACAAAGGGAAAGGGTTTCTTGTGAATTCTACTTTCAGTATTGACAGTTTCTGTCTGAGGAGATGATTAAAAGAACACATTAAAAGGGACTAAATTCAAAACTCAGAGCATTAATATAGCAGCAAACTGCTATTTGCTATGTAAAGATAGAGTGGAATGCCTGCCTGAGCAGAGAATGTTTACAATTATTGTGATTGCTCAATGTTCTATGTCTTTATCTCTGCTTTAGATTACCATCAGTTAGAAAATAACGTTTAAAATCGTGTGTAAGGAAAGCACTGCTTTCTACTACAGTGTCTTCTTCCATACTACCACTGGGGCTGCCGAAGTAAGAGATCCTCAAATTCTACACATGTCAGCTTTACATCTAGTCGTTGTTTATTTTAATGAGGAAAGTGATAAGAAACCACTGAGTGGTTTGAAGCACCTCACCTCTAGTTTCTGGGCCTTGTCTCTGCTGAGCGGCTCCAGGGGGAAGCTGAGGTTGTTGGACTCCGACAGCGATCGCAGGTCAAAGTAATACTTGGCGTAGACACTGGACGGCACGTTGATGTTGAACTGCAGCAGCTCCAGAAACTGCCGCTCCAACTCGTTCCTGTCGGAGAGGAGTGAGCTGGAGGTTCATTCATGAAAAGATGTTCTACATCACCTGACTGAACCGCTGGCCTTCTGGAACAAACATGTCTCCATACGGAATATCAATACAAGTCCTCGCCTTTTATCCATCTTTTTATTCCCAGGCGATCATGACCAGTCCTGGCAACTGGAAGGTTTTAACGCGAGGTCAAAGAAGTTAAGTTACTACCTTCCAAAACAATAACAAACAAATGAAGACAAAAATATTTCTCACTCAACACAGCCCCATCTCCAGCAGTCTGCTGTTTACCCCTCAAGGGTCAAGTGTTTCTTCATTTCCTCCACATTGCTTTAACACATTAATACCAGCGTCTGTAAATCTTTTGTCCTTGCTGTGATGAAATCTTTGATGTAAGACCAAATCTACAAGAAAACTATTTTGAGGGATTCATCTTCGTCGTCCCCTTTTGTTCCGGTTCTGAGCTCAGCCCTAATCCTAATCCTAATATGAATCTGAACCAAAGTCCTACACATAAAGAAACCAATCCCGTTTCTTAAAATAAACTCACATGTCCTCCACAGTGATGTCCTTGAGGATCTGGCAGTAGTCGACGTTCCAGACGGCCTGGTCGTCCCAGACCTTGGAGGCCAGCAGGATGGCACCCAGGACGATCCTCTTCCAGTTACCCGGACCGATGTCGATCTCTGCGTAGGTCAGGAGCCTCTCCAGGTAGATCTGCGCAACAACGCGGATAAAAGGGGGACGTCACTGAAAGCTGGCCATGAAAGTAAAGCAAGTAGGCCGTGATTTAAAAAAGACAAAATAAGAAGCTATGAAGAAGAATAGCTGCAGGCCGAACAAGTGTTGGTGTCAGGAGGTATGCATCCGCTCTTCCATGTATCACATCCTGCATTCATCACCGGCCTCTGAGACCCACCGACACACGCAGACGACATGGCATTTTTTGGGATGCACAGTCTCGTCGTCGCCAATTTACACACATCCCTGGCTTATCTCAACACATCAGGGTGATATGTCCCCCGGGGCCTGAACAGACACTATGTGATGGTGTGAGTGTGAGGGTTTGAGGCAGGTCGCACCTCACTGTAGAAACTTTGGAAATGCTTTTTCTTGCTTCTGTTTTCCATGACACAAGCCAACCAGAATGTACATTTGTGTATGTGTGTTTTATGTTATGATCCAGGACATTAAGGAGGATGGAGGAGGTTAAAAGAATCTCACCAGTGTGACGATGGCGCACTCGGCAGTGAGCTGAGCGGAGCTGAACAACGTCCTGACAAACCGGTAGATTTGCTTCTGCTCTGGGTCGTGGTGGTCGTAGTCCGGCGGCACCTCTGATTTCTGGGGGAAGAGATGGAGGGAAGAGGTGAAGAGAGGAGGGAAAGATTTGGGTATAAAGAAGGGAGGAAGGGTTAAGAAAAAGACATAAATGAGGAGATTTAAAAGCACAATGACTTCACTGACACAGTCAAGAATCTGCCCCAATACTAACAAGTTAAAAGGAGGCCAATCGAACGGGAATCAAAATCAAAATAATGCAGATATTTGCGCAAAATGTATTTTATGAAAACTAATTCGGTCTTACTGAAAGAGGATGAAGCTTCTCATCAAATATATCCACCAGCATTCCTCCTTCTGTTTCCCTGGCATGAGATACAAAAAGTGAAATTGTGGATTTCATTAAATAAGACTTAATGTGAAGCTTCTAGCTGTGAAATTGGTTAAACTCGGAAACATGTTAATACATCAGTGTCTGTTGAAGATGACTGAGGACCCCTACCTGTTCTTTATATGGTAGTAAATCGCCAGTGACACACTGAATAGCAAAGAAAGCAATACATGTGTTAATATGTTTTAAATACACTACAACTGCAGAGAATACTTTGGATATCTTCCGATCATGCTTTTTACCATTTGATGGTGTTTTTGAGGTTGGGCTGGCTGACTGTGTTCTCGTCTAAGAAGATGGTGGAGCAGGAGTTGTATTTCCGCCTCGACGTTCCGTGCTACAAGCACACACAGACACACGCACACACACGCACACACACACACACACACACACACACACACAGTGACTGTTATTAGAGTGTACATGTTGTTGTCTGACCCACATAGAGCAGGGTGTCGTGCACAGGGGGAATGAGAGTCAGGCAAAGGGACACATTCTTGTGTTGCATGTTGTTCTTTTTTTTAGCTGGAAAGGAATTGTAACAGATGTGCACTTACATTATTGATGAAGAGGCTTTTTCGTTTATCTCGCACTACAGACAGAAAGACAGGTTTGTCAGTAAATTCAATTTATTCTGCTTTGGCAGCAGCAACCAGTATGACACGCTGCTATCACAGGAAGCACAACACAGCGACGGGGTAGCACACCTCACAACGTTAATCGTGATATAGAAAAAAAGCGGGAAGTGTTGAGACAACATGGTTAAATAGCAAGTTAGAACGGTTCGAGCTTCAACAGACAGAAGAGAAATGCGCTGTTACACCGCTAGGGGGAGACAAAGTCACACTCAGGACTACTCACCATTCCTGCAGGGCACCTCTGAAAAAAGAGGAACCAAAAACCTTATTCCATGTGCAGCAGAGTCGCTGGGTCTGTGACAGCAGGGCCCAGTTACACAGCAATAGTTCTGCTCTTTCCTAAATACAACTTCAAGACAGACTTTACCTGTTGCATAAAGCTTCCCTATGAGTGACTAATTCAAGACTGATTTAGATAGTCTGTCAAGCATTATGGGTGAAATAAGACACTTCAGAGGAGGATGTGTGGGATGCAACAGCAAAAGTGACACCACACCAAGTTTGTGATTAAAATAATAATTAGCTTAAAGTAATGGATAAACAGTTCAGGTAGTTAGCTAATGGTTAGCTAAACGTAATGAACAGATTAACTAGAAATGATGGGTAAACAGTTGGAATAAGGAAGACGGAGGGTGGATCGCTTACATGTTTCCCCCAAAGACAAAACCAAATATTGCAAATGACAAGTAACGATATTGGTAACTTTCAATCTGAAAATGCTCATTCATGTATCCCTCTCATGTCAGACATCATTCATTCTTTCTTTGTTTTTTTTGTAGCTGGCTGAATATTCATCAGATGGCACATATATGCCTAATCTCTGAATGAAGAAGTCTATAAGCCTGTGCAGAAAATGTAATGATTTAATATTAAATATGATGCAATGCCAAATCTAATATCTGTATGACACAAAGGATTACATTTAACAGGGAAAAAAGCATTTATCATCTGCTTCAACATCACAAAGCTTGACTTGTCTTGCTGTTTGTTCCCCCGGCCTCTTAGACAAGCGATGATCTCATGCTGTGGTGTTCATGGCTCTAAAAACATGTTAATATTTCCTCTGTCACAGGATGAACGAACTCCCCCACAAAATGCTGAAGCTCTCATTCGGATGCCCCCGGGCAGCGGCATAAATTAGTAGTCATCAGCTGGCCACAAAAGAAACTGCTCTGGGATCAGAGATCCAAAATATTCAGTATTACTCCACTAAGAATCTTTTTATTTTCATCCAGAGCCTCATTATCTTCATCATATTTCATTATCGTGTGTGTTCTGTGTGATGCATGCATGTCAAACTAAGACAAACTTGGTGACACTGACTTCACATCTAGTTTGCATTAAAAGGACAAATTTAAAAAACGGATAAATTCGGTCACATCCCATAAAACGGAGCTACTCACCGTCGTTCTGGGATTTGCTGAGGAATATGGTGCTGGCCCGCGGATGGTCCGATGGATTGTACGCCATATTCAACTCTGGCAAAACACAAAGCATTGGTGTCACTTTGTGAAATGGGAACAATGATCAGGAGACACATACACTACTATAGTCATAGTCAAAATCTGCATGTTAGCATCTGTGAGAATGTTAGTATGCTGACTCTGGCATTTAGCTCAAAGCGCACAGCTGTACAATCTCACAGAGCTGCTAACTACTGTAGACTCTCAGTCTTCTCTTCTAGATGACATAAAATAAAACAACACAGCTAATTAAAAGAGCTCTTAAAATGTATTTACAAGGTGACAAGATTCCCCTATATTGTTCCATGTGTTTCCCTTTGTAGGTCTTTATGCTTATTTTGTATTCCGCCGCGCTCACAAACACACCCAGGCATGATTCATGTTCCCATCGTGGCCTGAGGGCACGAGTCACATACGCGTCTGTGTCTGTGCACATCTTATAAAGCACGAGTGGAGCACTCAAAATATATGAGCCCTCATCACGCACGCCAAAAAATGCTTTTTCTTGCAGGTAACAGTTGCAAGACAACGGTGGTTAACTGAAACCGCTGCTTCCTTTACTCTTTTTCACAGCCAGCACCCTTTAAAAAACTAAAACCAGCTGCGGCGTTCAGGAAATCAATGGACTCCAATCTTTCCACTGTGGTCTAAGCCTTAGTATTTTGCACTCCCAGCCTGAACTTTACATTTGGAGAATTGGAATCCAGCAGCGCTCTCCTTCAAGTGAGATACATGCAAAGTGGTAGCTTCTGGTGCACTCATCGTTAAAAAATGCCCGGCATGCAGATCTGCACTGCTAAATGTTCTGAGTCCTACACGATATGACTGCAACAGACCCAGATTAAGAACCAGGGTATTTGATTACAATGCAGACATTCGGGGAGCGGCGTGGCCGATCATCTGTCTCAGCGACAGCAGCTGCTGTGGGACGACTGTCTGTAAGGGAATAAAATAAATACCACTGCTGTTAGCTGTAACAGAGGTATGCTAACAAACGGGCTTCTCTTTCTAACCACCAGACCAGCCTGCAGGCTGTATTCAGGTGAATCTTGCCATGGCTCCGCATAGCAACAACATGATTCATGACCTTCACCACACTCATTTTAGTTAAGATATCATTTCCAAAACTGCTTGATTTTTATCTAATTAACAAAAAGGTTTTGTTTTGTCTTTCAAACTCCCAGAGTAGTGTTGTTTTTAAAAGATTAAACACTTGTGACTGACAGCAGAGACATGTTTTCTGAATGGAAATATTAAAGCTAGGGTTGGTAATCTTCAAACAACATGTATCATTCCATCCTGCCTGTCTACCTATCCACCTGCCTTCTTGCTCATTGTGCGTCACCGGAGTCTTCCACAAGCTGCTAGCTTGACAGCTGTGAGTACCAACCGGGCAGCAACCACCGGTTCCGAAGAGTAAAGCCAATGCGGAAGTGTTTTAGAACTTGCATTCTCTCCACTGACCAGCAGTTGCAAAAAGGCAATCCACAAACCAAAAGGGTGACGTCACGATGACTACGTCCACTTCTTATATACAGTCTATGGTACCAACGAAAGCCATGTCCGGTCTTTACGTTCATTTTGAAATGTTTACGTTCATAATAATAATTTCGGGGGAGTGGCTTTGAAGGGAGGCCTGAAGGGACGGGCTCGTCAGTGCCGCCGCCGTTGCCGCCTTTCCCGCTAAATGTAACGACTTTTGGAGCTACTGCTGCTAGTTACTGTCATTGGAAAAGAGTTAGCAACACCGCGCTGGGTTTTTCAGTTGGATCACTTTCTCTAAAGCTAGCGTACTCTTGCTAGTTTATCTACTTCGCTTCATAGCACAGAATACCAGAGCAGAGGGTGAGGCAACCCTAAAGACACCTATAGCCACTTGACAAACCTGCTGGTGATGATTGGTGAAGTGTTACAGAAGGCCTGTCTGAAACATCTGTGCATTTCACTCCCCTGAAAAACAGAATGAAAAGAGCATTCTGGTAGATTTTGGTGTGCAAACTCTTTTGTGTATACACTCATTTGAACCCAAATGCCACCTGAACACAGTCAACCCTGCTTACCCCACCAGGCTGAATGGTCTGAGCTTGGATTAGACTTGCGACAGTTTAGCACTTTATGCAACAGTAATCGGGGGGTATCGCTGCATCCGGCCGATTTCAACACGTTCTCATATTGGAGCTTAAACAGGAGCTGAGCTGGTGTTCAGTGTGAGATCACTGGCCCAGTTGGGGTTCAGCATGAAGGATTCCCAATTGACTGAACGAGAATAAAGCATTCTGGTCTAATGTTACACATTTATCTAAACACTGCGAGGAAGTTGCATGTGCAGATAAACACGAACACAGGCCAGTTCCCGTCACTGTGGAATCATTTCTCACAGGTGACACCGATGTGTCAAATACATCACACACGTGTCAAACAAGGGTCAAGGCTGCCAGTCACACAGAGCTGACTTAGCTTTGCACTTCAGTCTACAATAGAAAATAGCTGCCTGTGTGTTAGGAGTTTTTGTAAGCCTGTATGATGGTAGCAAAGTTAGGCTTTTGAATGTTTTCTTTCAGCTTTTTTTCAACAGCAGCAACAGGGGTTTTGGTACCCTCTGAACCCCAAAACCCGGGGTTTTGTTTTCTTTAAACAATCGCCAACACTACACCGTTTGTCTTAGCCAGAAGCTGTACAAAAAACGTCATTATCGTCAGATTTCCATCTGTCCAACATTCTTTGAAGACACCATGTGCGACGACCTCTTCCGTCAGAAAACGCAACCACAACAAAGCAAAGCATTTCATCAAAAACATTTTATTCTACATTTCTCATTTAAAAACTCGGCCCGAATACACATTTTGATTTAACCAGATACTGTAAAAAACATAAAATTCTGCGCTACTCAGGGCAACTAGGAAGCTATGATTGACTCGGGTGAGTCCAACAATCACGTGACAAAAATTCAGTGAAACTTCGGCTAAACTGCAGGCTACTGATCACGAGGAGAAGAGGAGACGCTGTAAATAGAGGTTGTGAAAATGTTAATAGTTCAATGTATGAAGCACGTACACAACACAAAAACAACAAATGTTTTAAGCATTAAACCATTATCATGATGTAGAATTCCCATAAGAGTCTCAATATCTTGTCCATATGCAAATCCAGGCCTACCGAGTGGAATTCCCAGAGTGCACAGCAGCTGGTGTCGAGTGTTGATATGTGATATTCAGCACCTCCAGTACACTTTAACGAAGACTCACGGTTGGCATCTGCACAGTGAAACAGGAGAAGCTAGCAAGCCTACCTGTCTGCCTTACTGCTCTTACATAATGAATTAACAACAGCCGCACCCTGCTCTTAACGGCCCGATCACTAATTGCACTATAGCGTTTCTAGCATTGTGTTTATTTTAAAATGTCCTTGAAATCTTTTTAATTCGGCAGCACACAGGGCTGCTGGTGGACAAGCGTTCGATCTTGCAGTTTGTATTCTGTGCCTGTTTGTTTCAAGCATCTTGCTGCGTCAGTGTCTCTGTCCTTAAATGTGGCGGTCTCAGCAACATGGCGCTGCTATCTGTTACCACAATCTGTTTTGTTTTGAGGCTGCATCAACCTTATCCAGTTTTCCCAATTATTTACTTTAGGTCTATGACATTCAAACGTCTTTCAGGGTTTTGTTAGATTTTCAGATTATGAAGTTGAAATTTACAATGTACAGAACTTTAAAAAGTTCAATATTTTTACCTCAAAGGGCCAGATGGACAATTTCTCAAGTGACCACATCTCAAACTTTAATGGTACTAAATCAAAAAATTCGGAGCATAGGCCAATCTATGATAGAGGGATTGCCTCCACGCGATGAGCCAGCGGCTATAAGCTAACAGTGCTAACAGCAAAAACAGTGCTGACAGAGCTAACATTGTTAACCTGAGCGCTAAGCTTCCGCAACAACGCCATGGGTTCGGGACGACGCATCGCCGTACGAGCGCAGTGCAGAGCGGCAGCGATTAGCTAGCCAGTGGGGCACACATAATGGGACTAACATGCACACGAGAACGGACTGCACAGAGACGCTCGGATTACAACACACACAAGGAGAATGACTTCATTATCTGCTCAGGACGCCATTACTCCACAATATCTTTACACGGCAAATCACTATTTGCTGCTATATTAATGCTCTGAATTAAAAATGTAGCACCTTTAAATATTACTTTTGGCTTTTTACTCAATCTGCCTCTTTTAGCTAATCCATTGTTTAGTTTACTTATTAGTTTAGTCCCGCAGGTCTCAATACAAAAGCTCTGACTAGCCAAGGCTTCCTGCTGACACCAAAATGGCAGAGACGCTAAGTAAACTATCCGGTGAAGAAAATAGACCTTCTAGCATCTATAAACCAAATGTTGGCCGGATTGGATGTGTGTTAGCAAACATTCTAGCCATAAAATCAGTTTCTACCACGCTTGCTATTGGTTTCCTCGACTGTATCTTGTGTTGAACATCTACGTTAGCTAGTTTAGCCCAGTTGACTTCAAGCTAGCCTAACTTTCTGGGTAAGATAGCAATTACAGTCACAAATTAAAACTTTAGTTATGGTTATTTTTTGTATTGTAAATGATCGGGCTTTGCCTTCTGGGATTATTTCCGCCTCAGGAGCAGCTCTGCCTCTGGAAACTGAGTTGCATCTACAATGTGAACGTGATCCCAGTGTTATTGTTGGAGTCTGTGGATGAGCACGAACCCTAATTCGCTCCCATGCAGTCGACGAACATGTTCACTGTTCAGTCATGCTTATGAATCTATGCTGGTTTCATTTTACAGAGACGTTTGGATTCCTTTCAAATGTGCTACACATGAGTGTGTTGTGCTAAATCTATGGTGAGTATGGTGATTGACTGCTGATATGTTATCCTGATAAAGGTAACAATGCTAGAGGTCTAGTTAGATGGCATTGGTTGTAGTAGCTTTGCAGGATTCAGACAATTTATGTATTGAATATTACAATAAGAATACATTTAGGTCAGATAGAGATTAATAACGTCAGTTTAAAAGAAATCTGGTGAATTGTTGGGCCCTATTGCTAGTGTTGCACATTTGTTCCATCTTCATTTTCATGTCACCCGTCAAACAACAGGAGGATGTCATCCTAGCCCCCTTATACTGTTTCAACACACGCATACAACCACACACACACTGATCCCAGGCCTTGAGCGGTACGGACCCAGTTTATACAAATAGAACTGACCTGCACACACATGGCCCCATATGCCTGGTGCGAGAAAAGGGAGAGCACTGATCACATACACTTCTTCTTTTACATGACCAAGATCTTTTACTTATAATGACGGTAATCTAATTTTATTTCCAATCTGTATTGATGACAGGACCCGTATAAGGCATAGTTCATTCTTTTTGTCCTTTAGCGCCTCTAGGTGGTGTATCCTAAGTCAACGTATCCTAATACAACGGTTCACATGATATCTTACTAAAAGTCACTCTTCATTTTTTGGGCGTTTTTCTACGAGAAAGCCAGCAACACGTGTCAAGTCTTTTCAAATTAAACTTCCGTCTTCACATGAAACAACTCAGTTAAGTTTAGGCAACAAAACTACTTAGATAGGTTTAGGAATAGATCGTGATTTGGGTTAAAATAACTTCCGATGTGGCGTTACTGAAGTATGCAAGTTACGTGACAAATAAATCAACGTTGACGTCTCGTTTCACGCGGGGAACGAACAGCGGTTAGCTTTTTTTGGATATATCTTTTCAACTTTCTTTGGGATGAGATGAGAAAAACATTTGTGATTACTTTTGAACTTGTAGCGGGGAGTGTTGAGTACAAATAGGAGAGAGAGAGATTAAACATTTGAGTACTACCTGGGTGTACTGAACTTCAAGGGGTTGGACCAGGGTCACAGGGCCCAGTCGGATGACTCATACTTTTGTTTGTAAGCAGTCAGAACTGACACTCTCCTGTAATATAGTCTTTAGTCATGTAAATCTGATTGTCTTTAAGTGTTTTCTGTCTCGACAACTCAAAGCCAACGTGACTTTCTGAAGTGATAATTAGTGAGATGAGGTGGTGTTGGATGGGACTGGGGAGCAAATTATTCCCATTAATAGTCAATAAATCAAACAAGGCGCTTCTCCTGTGAATATCCTGACCCTGAAAGGAGTAATCCATCAACAACAAAGGTGGAAGAACACAAGCATCTATTTTCTGACCATTGATTTTGGGTGTTTTTTTGCAGCTCAGACTTTTAATAGATCGGTTTCCTCTCCGCCAACGTGGTGAGCGGAGCCAGTCTTCTGCCCCTGGTGAAACACATGGCTGCTGCTGTAAAAACAGTAATAGGGCTTGATGTGGCTTCTACAGTGGAAATAATTAAATGCATTGTGCTACTTCAGCAAAATGCTGTTGCATTACTTTATTCCCTCTGGACCAAACTTTCAACCTAAACACAGCTGGAATCAGCAATGTGGTTAGCTTTTTGTTTTGATCTTTTAACTTAATTCGAGGCCCACAATTTTATTGCTCTGGAAAGTGCTTTATGGCACACACGGCTTGTTAAAATACTGTACATTTCTCCCTTATTTCCACACCTGTGTCCTCTGCCATGCATGTGACACGGGGTGCCGTGATCTGGATGAAAAGGATAACCCCGCATGACCAAACATGTTGTTTGATGTGCCGGCTCTGAGCAGATGAGAAGCAGCTGATTAGAAAAATGAATTAAGAAGAAAACAAGAAAGCGGGGGTGGGGCACTGTGCACCATGAATGAGACACTGAATGAAAATGACCTGCCCATGTGTGATTATGTACATTTTAAGCATTCGGATGTGCTCCGTCTGTCATGGCAACATGCACCATCCCCCTCTCTTCTCTCCTCATCGATGTCAATATCCTCTCTGTTGCTTTAAATATGTTCTATTAGTTTGCTCCATACAGCCCACAGCTTCCACGGCTCCCCACATCACCTCTTCATGATATTCATGATATGACTAATTGCAATGCAGTACTAACCTCTCCAGTCATTTCAAACACACCAGTTGTCCTAACGCACCACCTGATTAGCAACCTATATACACACACCTGCTCTCAATTTGACATCCGTGCAAGTCGTTTCCTGCACAGCCCTGTTCCTCTTGATCTATTATGCAAAGATGAAAGATAAGCTTCGTGATTGTAGATGTCGCACTATAACTAGTACAGTCAACCCAATAAAGAGGGGAATAAACAAGAGCTTAAGTTCAAACATAAGATATCCATTTGGGAAGTTACGGCACATGCACCGACACGTCAAATAATGTAACAAACAAAAATAACATTTAACTTTGACATTTACCAACTTTTAATCCAGCTATCCAAACTATCACAACACAAGGTTTACTAAACACTGGGGAGCACCCCTCCACACACTGCACCTACAGAGAAGAGCCTCAGCTGATGCATGATGCCTCACAGAGGGAACAGTCATCAGTCAGAGAAACACAGTGGGCTTTGTCAAAGAGATGCCGATCATATGACGGCTACGTCTCTCTTTATCTCCATCCATCTTCTGCATCCAGGGGGGCCAGTCAGTTAGTGTCTCTCCATTAAACAGAATTTTCCCTCTACCCCAGCGTAGTATATATGTGTCAACTTTCATATTTATATTCAAAATGTTGGGTTTTATGTGTTCCCCAATAGGAGAACACAGTGGAAATGTGCAATTATCCAACTACAGTCTCGTGAAATAGTCTATTATATTATACTCTTGTGCCCAGGACCTAGAATCCTGTTTTGTTTTGTTTTTTTCCTTTTTTTCGGGGTGACATTTAGTTACAAATCGAAAGTTAGGTTTAGGCAACAACCACGTAGTTAGGTTTAGGAAAGCCGTCACAAACATTAGTTTCAGTCAACAAAACAAACGCAACAAAACCACAACAACCCTCTGTGACACGCCATGTGCCATTATTCTGTTATTTTCAGTTATTGGTATAAACAAAACCTCTCACTGCATCACATCAGCAAAAGATGAACAATTTAAATTTAGTGTGACTCAACTAAAAGACTTCTATCAATTTATAATCTTGATTTAAGATTTTTAGGTGCGGGGCCGCCACAAAGTTTACATTTGGATATCAGAGTGTGTCTATAAATAAACTGATTGTATTTTCTGACTTTCTGAATTCCTGTGAATGAGATTCAATAGAGAGCATTTTGTCTATATGTCTATGTTATTAACACACTGTCTTCATATTGCAACGGCATTAGTCATATATTTAGTGCGAGAGCTTGTGACCAAGATTTGGGCATTTAAAAAAGAAAAAAGAAAAAAGCTCATCCTTCAGGTCAAAGAATGAAAACACATGCTGACAAAATAACTGCACCTTTCATGACAATATGAGAGCCATGCAAACCAGTGAAAACCTTATTTCTCCCAAACTAAGCTTTCTGCTGAAACTCTATCTAGCATTACAGCTCTGCCAACGCTTCAAGGCCGCAGGCCAGTGAAATGATGGTAATGGTGTTGTGCAGTGAGGAGATTATCTGTTCTTAAAAAACAGACGGTTCTGGGAGGTCGTTCTAGGACTCCAATAGTGATGTAATAGTCCAAACTGAGAGAGACACAACTGTCTGCTGTGAGGGCGTGGCAAAGCATCTGCTGATGTTTTACTAAAACTGACTGAAGTCATATTGCAGTTAGAGCTGTCCTTCCAAAAATAACACATCACACTATTTACTCGCTGAGGTTTCCCATGACTCCTTAAATCCTGTTAACCTTTTTATGTGTGAAAGCTTGTCCACCTTTTTGCATGATGATTGTTAAAATTGTTATTGTGAGCCAAAGAAAGCTAAGGATAAGGAGAAAAAACACAAAATGACAACAAGAAGCACACGAAGTGAGCAGAAACACGAACCAATCAGTTGACAACAATCCAGCAAAAGAATAAGAGAAGGTAGAGAAAATATGGGCACACAAAGAAATAATTAGACATTAGACAATTTCCCTTTTTCTAAATTGTCCAAAGGATCATTGTGTTCATCACTTCCATGTCATGTTGGTGGGGTTTGGGATAAGATAGAGGGGGCTCTGTTTTGTGTTGCTGAATTGTTTAATTTATCACCATTATTATTATTAAAGCTCAAAAATGTTAATTAACTTCCATGTTTCGTGCCTGAGGACCCCCTTGAGGATGAGATGGTGCATCTCAAGGGGTTTATCCTAAAAAAGACAAACTCTTGATAAGGTGTACTTTGGTGTTCCATATTCGTACTCCACCATATCTGAGGTTGGACTCATTCATTAAGCAAATTAAAAGATTCATTGAAAAATATTCCCTTGTGCTCTCACGTAAAATCTGCTCCTGCCATTGCGTTGGCCATGACGCTGGTCAACCTCTCTGTGGACAGAATTGGCTGCCACTATATGGCTTGAATGCAGCGGGCCCATTCCAAAATTCTACTGGGATCAAAATCGAATTGTACTACATCACACCCATTCAATTAGCAGCAGATGATGTCTTTGAAAGCAGCGCGTTACGCTCTAAATTGAGGCGTTAATTCTTGGCAACCATGCGTCCCCGGTGGCTGCTGCTATCTGCTCTGACACAGGCTCACAGCTGCCTCTCCGGGCTTTTCTTTGGGAGGGGTGAAGACTCTTTCTGATGGTGCAATCCATAATGAAGCCCACTAATCTCCATCTACCGTACTGTCTGTGAACTAACATAATAGAGCCGACACATTAGACACGCTGCGGTTTCAATCACCGCACCACTGCCGAGACAGACGGCCTCTCAGCACGAGTCGTCTTCAGCCCCGTCAAGAAGCGCCGGTCGACTGTTAATCACCCGTCTTTGAGTCTTCTTCATGTTGCTTTTTCCGCTCTGGTTGGAGAGCATCTGGCAATATATGCATCCCATTAAAGTCAATGATCCAAGACGTTGATTTAAAGACTTTCCTGATGCTATGACACCAGCCCTGCCAAAGACACCGTGGCCATAATATTAACAACATAAGCACCCACCATAACGCAAAGCACTCCAGTTAATAGCAATCACAATGGCATACAACATGTAAGTGGCATACACTCCTCAAGTTTACGAGAGGGAATGACATTACTGATCAATAAAACACAGGTCCCCCGCCATGCTGACGGTGTAAAGGCATCCACTCTGTTTGGTAGTAGACAGTGAAGACTTGACGCTTCCTACAGCAAAGTGCACCAACTATATATATATACATACATATATATATATATATAATACCCTTTATTGATGTGTAATCAGCACTGAAGATCAGCACGATCCTCTTTTTCTCGCAATAACGACTCCAAGTACATTTGTAGAGTTTTGGTCCAAAAAACAACCCAGACCCTTTCTGTTTTGAGATCACTTCCTGAGACTGGGCCAGATTTAGTTTTAACACCCAACAAACTGCAAAAAAAGCCCGGCAGTCACACCTACTTTTATGTAGCGATTCAACAGCTGTACGGGGGTTTGAAAGTAGGCCGAGTTTGAACTTCTCTCTCGAGCTTTCTTTTTTCCCCCTCAGTCGTTTTCGTCAAGAGCAACACCGTGAATGCCTTCAAGGAAAGAC